ATGAAAAATCGCCGACTATTAGTGCCGAACTGCCATTGTAGAATTTTTTTCTAATTATTGATTTATTTCAACATATTTCGATATCTCGCCGACTTTATAAATTTAACCAAAAGATGTTTTCCCCCGACGTTATATGAACTGACAGTGACATGGGCACTAAAACTTGTACACAATGATGAACCAGTTACATCCATGGATAACATTATATTCACTGACTAGCTATAACACAAGTTTTTCAATTTGTTTTCCTTTTTATGCTGTTCTATTTCAAACTTTATTTGACTTGATACAAAAACATAAAATACAATGCAGTAAAATGATATAAAATTTATCAAATATAAAAATATCTTGTCTTAATTGTATTAATTAATTGTATTAGTAGATTGACCAAATTGGTTGGGAAAAACTGATTACTAGTATTATGCAAATATAATTATGCAAATTAGATGTATTGTTATGCAAATTGACCGTGATGCTTGACATGAAGTCTGGGGAGAACACTGAAGCTTCCTATTCCTATGAGTGGTCTAAGGACCAGCTGTTACCTTATCATTCACTATAGACCTCAGACAGGAAGATAAAACAAAATCCTAAAAATTACAGCATACAGTGACATTTTAATTTTAATTAACATATCAATATGGGTATGTATTCTAATCCTCAAATCAATTACATACCATTTCATGAAGGCATGAACTGCTTTTATGGAAATTTATAGTATTTTAAGTATTTATAAAACATTTACAAAATTCAAAGAAGATATTTTCATTGGCTATGGAAGCTACTGTATTTATTATTAACTAATGTCCATTGCCCATGAGTCTTTGCAAGTTAAAATATTTCAATTACTAGTTAATTAGACAGTTAGTTAGACAGTTAATTGCAATGCACTCACAAAATATTCTCTGAGGGCCATATGCATCTACTAAGGGACGACGTCAAAAGATCGATGTCGGATAAAAAAACTTATTTCCTTTAGTTTGGGGGTGGGGGGTTTTGACCTCAAAAAGTTTCCATCCTACAAAAACGATTTTATTTTTTAATAAAGTCAAAAAAATCTTGGAGTATTTGTAGTTCGTTTTTTTTCTATCCAATCATGGACAGAAATAACCGAAAAGGGAAAAATCAGAAAAATGGTTTGGTTCGAATGTAAATCTGTGCGTCAAATGAGGTGCATTTGTAAAATCTTTTTACACCCACCCGACAACCAACTGCTATACAATACTACTGTCGGATTATCAATTTGTATTTAATGGTGAATGTAGTCTGACGCCATGACCAATATTTATCAATTAAGTTTCAGTGGGGGGTAGGGGGGGTTTGGAAAAAAACTAAAGGAATTAACTTTTTTATCCGACATCGATCTTTTGACGTCGTCCCTAAAGGCATTGTGATTGGTAAAGTTGTTTTAATTTGTCGTTATGAAATGTTTAGATATATTTTATATAAAAACACTCATGTCTTCATGGTATCCTATTTTACATAGTTAATATAAAGTTCATATAAAGTATACTCACCGATTGTCCTGGCAAACTGGTCCAGAAGAATCCTCTCCAGTCTGGGTCTTCAAAGATGTACGGTAATATTCTTGTTAACAATCTGACACAGTTCAATACAACTTGCTGGTCTTTAGGACTGGCACAACCGGTCTCAGATGCAGCGACTAACTTCTCAACAGCCTACAGGAAAAAAACATTCACCAGTTACTGTCTGAAAACATTCACTTCCTGTTACATGTTACCCATAATACATTGCAGCAGGTTACAACAATTAAACATTTTTGTGTTTTTAATATTGGAAACAAGCAGAAAATGCCCGATTGTACTTTGATGATTACAGTAGATTGCAAGCATTCAACCTAACAAAAAGTATAATTATTGATTTTGATGTGTCATCAACTTTTCATGTTTTTTTTTTCAGTACAAAATATTTGTTGCCTAAAGAATGTGAAAAAATTAAAATTTTTGTAATAATTTCGAGAGAAAGTCATGTTGTAGTATTATTTCATTAAATATGAATAATAATTATCAGAATGACAGAGTATTTTCTTGAAAACCATAATTACCCATCTTATAAATACATATTATTTTGTCAATGTATGTAACCTAACAAAATGATGAATGGTTCAAAAATCACGGTTTTCATGGATATTTGACCTGTGTTTTGTGTGAAATGTAGTATGGTAGCCTTATAATTCATCTCTGTTTTGTGAACAATAATATAAAATAAAACCATCATGTAAACGTCAAGGAAATTTGATCATTAGTTTTTAAGGTAGCCTTAACTGCTATCAAGAGCTGCACATACCCAGTCAGAGCTTGGAAATCATTTTTGTGATTAATTTTGATTAGTCAAATGTGAAACCATTTTACGCTATAGCCTTTGCTGAAATAAATGTTTGAAAGCCCCAGCGAATATTGCATATCAAGGGACTTCAAGAAACATGCTCAGGGCATAAACTCGAGATGCTGAATAGGCACATTGAAGAAAATATGATCTTGTTTTAACTCCATGTTGTATGTCAAACTAGCAGCCTGTCGACTGAGATAGCTCCGCTGTTAGCAAGGCAGATTTGAAATAAAAAACTGGAGATATCATTAGAAAATGAACAATATGTATAGTATGTATAGCAATCGGACTTGCTGTTTTCAACAAGAATTCAAAAATATCACTTTTTACCAAAAATATTGACCAAAATTAGAGAATTAAAAATATCATCACAAAATGAACAAATCTGAGAGAGGTCCACATGTAGTTCCTACATGTATATATACCGGATTCGGCTGATACCCCGCCCTGGGCGATCTTATGAAAGATTCAATTTTATTTTAGAAAAATGTGGACCAAAAGATTGCCCGGGCGATGTTATGGTAGATATTAGGAAGCCCATCTTGTATGGAAAAAATAACACTGCGTTGATAAAAAATAGGCTCAGAATATGTTTAGAAAAAAACACGCTGCCACAACTGAGTGATCAGCGACATCATTTTGGGACGCAATTGAACTTCAAGTACTTCTTTGCGAAACTTGCTGCGCGGCGATACTGACATCAAGTGTTTGTTGACCGAAGTTTGACCCCAAGTCACGCACTGAACTGGCGCGTTACCTTGGCAACCCTTTTCTTTCGTGCTCCACGCGTCAATCTAGTAAAATTGTTACTATATCCGACGGTACTTGTATGCAACTCTGTACTGGCTTTGAATATATCAACATTGTTTACTTAGTGCACTGCTTTCTAATTACGCAAAATTGTTTACAATATTGTACCGGCTCTGAATATTTCAACTTTGTAATGCATTGCTTTCATGATAATTACGCAAACTCAAGTTTTTTTACTATTGTTTAGGGCACTTAAATTATTAAAAAGGATAGTAGTCGGGGATTTACGGAAAGTCTAGAAAATATTTTAAATACTTAAATACAAATTCATCGATGTTCCAATGGTGAATTATTTTATTCGAAACCAAGTGAACATGTAATATAAACCATACCATGCGTTATTCAAGTTAAATTTTACTATAATATATTACACTCTGGGCAGCGCACTTCGATCGCATTATTCACGTACATTTCGACTGAACTCAATGACCTCCAGAGTTCATGCACTGATATTTAAATTGGGGCCACCCAGCTTGACGCAAATCAATATAGTTACTTGTCATTTGTTCAAAAAATCTTTCAACTCTCACAATATCATGAACGCAAAGAGCTAACTGGGGGTTAACTGAAAGAGAACGTCTTTTTTTGGACAAAAAACACGTCAGTACAAGATTATGTGTGCAAGGTTAGATTTATAGAAAGTACATGACCGCTTAATAATCATGTCGCATGTGAAATGCAGAAGACATTTTCGTTTTTTTTTCTTTTCTTGCTTACCGATCTTGAACTTTTTGTCTGGAATGCGATACAGACAAAGATTAAACATTACTGATACCTACTGTTGTTAAATCAACCAAGAGGCTTGAATCAGGAAGGCTTGGCTATTTTAAGTGAAATGTATTAACGAGTCATAATACACAACAACAATTTGTATACAGCATTGGACTTATAGGAGTTTTATGCTTTTCGACTTCACAGTGAATTATTCTTGGCATCATATTTGAAATAGCGCACTCGATGCAAGATGTTGGACAGAAAAATTGGGGTCTGTAAAAATGTTTGTTGGTTCAGTCATGCAATGTGTGGACCAAAACATCGCCCACTATTTGAAACATCGCCCATGGGCGGGGTTTAGAATGGGCAGGGTATCAGCCAAATCCGGTATAATGAAAATGTGACACAAGGTCAATCGCCCAACCAATCAAAAATGTCAATATACGCACCATAGGGTGGTTCATTTAAATGATGTCATAGAATAAAATCACTTTCCAAAATGGCGGACACATGGTCAATGCAACCCTGTGAACCAGCGACAAAAAGTCCTGTACTAAGCTTTCCATCACGGAAATTCGTGATCGATGTGCTGACTAAGTAATAATCTTGCCCTACATCTGTAGTGTCGTGGGGGGAATGATTTTTTTCAGGTCAAATCTTGACCGAACCTAAACTGCTTGCTAACTGAAAGGCTGTGATGACTGAGATCGTCTGCGATTGCGGCTACACCAAGTACTGATAACTTAAAATCTCATACACAATAAATATTTATAATGTCTTCATGCAATATATTCTGAGTTATCCACTTCATTCTGGCCCGCGAATTAATAGGATACAATTTATAAATGTTTATAGTATAATCGTTTTGTGATTTTTCTAGTGGTGTAATTTTTCCTCAGAAGGACTAATAATATGCAATAATGTATTATTCAATATTTTTGACTTCTACTATGAGCTACTGTATAACACAATCCGGAAAAAAAAGTATTTAATTATGTACGCACATATTAACTGACTGACTATATATACCGTACTTGACAGTGTTAGCGCCAATGCCCGGTCAAGCGCCCATCCCCCCACTTTTGCGCAATTTTTATATTCGGGATCACATTCTTTGCCACAGTAACCATGCGTAAACTACGCTTCAACAATAACCTGTTAAAAAAAGTAAAATGCAGTAAATATTTCATGCCTGCAATATTGAGTTTACCTATCAAAAATTGCTAGTTACCATTTTTTTTGAAAAAAACATGTTGTTTATTGGCCAAAATCAACAGATCGTACTTCGACATCATGATTTTGCTGAGTTGAGGACCAGGCCTGGGCGCTAACACGGTCGAGTACGGTAATAAAGATTATAGTTTGATGTTGATTTATTCATGTGTATCTCACCTTATAACACAGCGTTGCTAGATTAGCTGGTGATTCCTCTCGTAATGCTCGGATTTCGGCTGCTGGGATTAACGCAAATACATCTTGTACACTGGTCACTGACTCTGCCCAGAATTGGTCCCAGAATGCATCATCACCTGCCTCTACAGGCTAAATCAGAAAAGAAGATATAATATGTCTTTTGTGTACTGACTGGTATAGGAAATCTCAGATCTCAACTGCCTACTATAACTATCAATTTTTCAGACTCCTGTCAACTGCCTGCTATAAATACTGGTAACAATTTGTCAGTACAATTTAAAACATTCAATGTTTATTTTCAAACACAGTAATTCATACGATATGCTTGTAAATTCAGGTTGCCAGTTTGGAGGAAAAAATAAAATAAAAAATAATGAGAGAGAGAAAAATTGTCCTTTGATATGGCAACACTACAGGTAATGTTTCAGTAATGCCTGTCTACTGCTGGGCGTATAGACGTCATTCAATGCAAAACAGTAAGTGAACGTTTCATATTATCCATTATTGTAAATGACATAAAAGCTGTCCATATGTTTCTGTGATTGTTACAATACAAATATAATGTATCAGGGTTCTGGACGAGGGGTTTTAC